GTTTATCATTCTACTATTCAAAAGACAAATTTTTTTACTTACACTTTCAACTCTTAACTTCCATAACTCCATTACTTGTTCATACTCTCCATTTGTCTGCACGGTACCGATTTCCTTCCTTTCTCTCTCTATCTTCTTAGTATATTCGGTAAGCATACAGCTCATAGTAATGCGGGAGTTGCTTGCTGGGCAGCCTAAAGAGGTGCTAAACAGTCCTTGTCTTTTTGACCAAAATTGTTCTTGTCCTGAAGATAACAAGTATTCTCCACCATGGAGAACACATAAATGCACATATACTAGCTTCTCCCTACTTGTCAGCCAGTGTCAAAGGTTGGCTTGTTCGGCGGCTTGAACAGGAGTAATTTCTTCGACTTCCGAAGTCCCAGATATGCAGCCAGCTTGTTGTTCCAGTTCACTATCCATAACAGAGATGGGTAGTAGGACTTATTGCGAACTAAGACAGAGTGGTCAATTGTGAATAATCTTATGTTCATGGATATAGGAAAGAGTTGGTATGTTGGCAGGAACAACTATGACCGATGCAAAATCTTTTTTCTTTTACATAAACAATGATGTCAACAAACTTTGTTTGCACTGTTTAAACTACAAACTATTCATAATACTGTGCAAATCTGAGCCACTTCGTGCTTTACCATAGATGGAAAGGCTAGTGCGGTTGCTGTGGTGATAAGAAAAGTACGAGGGGGTGGAGAAAAGTGATCGGAAAACCGCTAATTTGACCAACTGTTGCCACAGATGGCCAGAGAGCAGCCAATCAGGTTTCAAATATAATGTGAGGAAAAAAGTGATTGGAAAGCAGAAGATCTTCCCATTCTAGTATGATGTAGCCATACCACCTGCTGCAATCACAGCTTCAAGGCGTTCTGGCTTACTACAAATTAAGTCATCCAACCGGTCAACCCTAATAGAATCTCAAACAGCCTTCACTGCTGTAATTAAAACCTCTATGTCTTTGATTCTCCCAAAGGTCTCTCCTAACTCAGTCTCCAAATCATCCCATAGTGCCTCGATGAGATTTAAATCCGGGGATTGTGGAGGCCACGCGAGTTGCTCAACATTGTTGATTTGACGGCAATGCTTCAAAAACTTCTGATGTCCTGGGGCACCATCTTCGACAACCTATTTTGTTACTATTAGTAATTAATAAAATCTTATTTAAATGTGTGCTCATATAATATTACCTGTGTCCAACCATATCATTCACAAGTTTGATGCCAAAATGGGATAAGAATAGGATCAAGGATGTGAGTAACATAATACCTAGAGTCAACCTTGGTTTTTGGAGGAATAGTATGTAAAATGGTCTTCATTTTACCACAAAATCCACCCCAAACCATTACGCCTTCCTTTCCTGACTCCCAGGTTTCATCGACGCAATCGGCATGAAACTCTTCGTCTGGCCTACGTAAAACCCAGGGCCAATGCCCAAAGCCCGCAGTTGTAAAGGTAGACTCATCTGTCCATACCATTCGTAGCCAATCGTCATATGTCCAATGGAGTCGTTCCTGACACCATTGGACGCGAAGAGGTTTATTCTTTTCACGAACACCAAATCTAATATTATAATTAATTTATACAATTAGCTCTAATTTCTATAGATTTAAATATATAAAAAAACAACTACTGAAATAAAACAATTTGAAGTAAGATTAAAAGAATATACTTTTTTCGTGGATACCGCTTATGGTATCCCATTGATGCACACACATTACGAAGTGTGCAAACAGAGCAGCTATATCCAAGTGCTTCCAAAATATCCTCCCATAGTAGGCGACGAGTTTGCTTATCAGTTGTGATGAAGTGTTGCAGTCGTTCTTTTTCTGCTTCATCAAAAATGGGTGGTCGGCCGGTATGATATTTGTTTGTTGGTGTGTTATCGGCTTTCGAATGAGTGTAAATATCATGCGCTTCGTCACGAAGGGTAATAATACGAAGTCACTCATCTCAGGTTGTTTCTCGACGTTTTGAATCACCAGGAAAGTGCTCGTTCCGCGTTCCCTTTAAATGCATTGTAAGATGTGAAGGATATTCTGAATGGTGTTTTGGTGGTTGCACGGTATTGACTACAGACCTGTTTATATTGGATGACCTCACTCCCAAGATTGGGTTTGGGTTACTGAAACTTGATTTCTGACTTTCACAAGATCCACCAATCATATCCGTTCTGATCACTTACCCTTACACCCTCGTACAGTAGTGAACCGACTTAGCAAAACCTCCCTAATTGGCATCATGTTGACAGCTTTAACAACTGGAGTAACATACAAAAACTAGGAGCTGCAGACTACCGGTACCGGTACCTCCGTAGATCAAAGACTTGGTTTGGATTTCTTCGCCGGATCATTGATTGGAGGAGTTCCCGTAGGAATTTGGAAAAATCTGTAGGTTCCAGCAAAAACCTGAATCACAGGCTGTTCTCGTGTGATACCTGAATATAATAAGAAGAAACAGATTACAAATTTCCAGATTGTGATGATTGCAGCAAAATGAAATTATGCATAAAAGAGCTAGTAAATACAAGTAGGATATCACTTTTCATAGGATTCCATCCGGTAGCAGCTTGTCAGTTCTCTATTCTGTGCATTGGGAACCCGAACCGAATGTGTTGAGAGAATTGTGGCCTTTAGGCTGCTCGACAAATTGCATGCGAGCGAGTTTCTTCGTAGATTTCAGCGTGAAAACAAGCCAAGACCACCACCCCTAAACCTCTCCCAGATCCCTACGAGAAGTCGTCCATTGACTGGGAGTCTGGGACAAATAACGGGCGGATCAGCCCAATGCCAAGAAGGGACGGAGGTTGCCCCGAAGCGTTGATGCAAAGAATTGCGACTGCACATTCCTGTTCATTAAATTTTAGGTGTTCGGTTGGTCGCAGTTAGGCAAATGAAGGGGCGGCGGGATTTGAATCCGCCCCTTCTCTCCCTCTCTCCCTCTCTCCCTCTCTCCATCTCCACTGTGATGATGACCGGTTCTCGGGTCATACTCGTTGTCTACTCGAGTACCGTAACTTTAATCAATTACTGTGCTCGAACACTTGTAAGGCGCGCCCGTTTCTCATGTCGCTGGACGCATGCTTCTTACGGTGAGAGCACCACCGCGGATTATGATAGGGACTATTCGAGCACCGTACTCGAGGACGGTACTCGTCTGGGTGCTCACAAGAATAAAAACACCCTATCAAACGGACTAATTTTTTTTCTTTTTTTGTGTTCTTTTCCTTTCTTTTTTTTCTTTCTTTCTTTTTTTTTTGCGTGGGGAAACTGGTCTCTCCCACACAACATTGCTCCCACATAGCTCAGGTAGGCGACATCAAATGTGATTGTCAGTTTTTCCCCATGTACCGTATCCTACTTGTATCATTGGGGGGGGGCTGGATGTGCTGTTGGTGTGGAATCATGTTCCAGATCAAGTCGCTCAATACCGGTAGATTCGGCGGCTCGCATCATACAAGTTACCGGTATCGCACGGTGCAGCGCGAGCACGGCTGGTATCATACCGTTAGAGTATCATACAGGTACTTGGTGTTGTGCCCTGCCGGTACCTTGATTTGCTGCAATTGTGGTTTGGGTGTCGTGAATTGTGCTGGACGCTAACTCGTTATTCATTGGCGATAAATTTAAAGATGATGAGCTTCTGAATCTCATCCTTACTCGTACGAGTACTTGTGTGAGATCGAGAGGATGATGGCTCCGATCCGACTCGAAACACTCGCACCCCAGGTGGGTAAGCTTTCTAAACCGGAGCGCAGCCATGTGGATAGGCGGTACGAGTAGACTATGGATCAACGATATCATGGCAGAAACATGGCACAACAATTGATCTCCACCAGTATTGTGCAATTCACTTCGTCCAATCTACGTCACTCGCCGCCGTTGAGCGCCAAACGCCCCTTGAACCGTTTAGTCCATTCAACCCCTTCCTACAAGTACGAGTACGAGTACAATATCGTACTCGAGTATTTCACCATGATGGGGTATTGGAAGTGCTGGCGGAAACCCTCCATCGCCTTACTCGTACCCTATAATAAGATCATGTATGATATTACTCGTAGTAGCATCTTGATTGTCCATTGCAGCTATCGTACGATACACCCATTCCCGGCTCTCGGTGCATGCAGTCGTTCGTTCATTTGCAGAACCTGGATAAGTTACTATCTATCTCCTTCGCCTTACATGGGAGTTCTAAGAGCTGCTGAATCTTGCCTCGTACCCTACCCGTACAGTATCTCCTCCCCCACACCCCTCCCCTCCAGTGGTTAGCTTTGTTTATGCCCATAATCCTGTTCTACCGGTACTTGTATAATACCGGTATATCTCTCTTCCTCTCTCTCTTCCACCCTCTCTCTCCCTCTCTCACCCCCCCCCCCTCTTTAATTTTCCGTGTGTATCACACCGGTAACCTTCCGTCACATTGTTCTCCCAGCATCACAAACTTCGTGAACCATTCTCTAGTCTTTGGTCCATCCCCATCTCCATCCCCATCCCATCTCCGTCCTAATTCCTTACATCCTTCTACCCGCCCTTCCATCTTACCTTATCTGTTACAGGTGCCGCTCTCGGCGGCGGTAATCGGACTCGTCGAATTTTTTTCATTTCCCACCACCATCTCCCCTTTTCTGCAACCTAACATCGCCTACACAGCCTCCTCGCCCCGCTCACAAAATCTTTCCTTTCTTTTCTTTTCTTTCCCTACTTGCTGTTGACTGCAGAAATTACCACTTCCAGTCCTCTGGTTTGAACTGATTACTGTACTAGTACCAACAACCCACTCGCATCACAAGGTCACATCCGGACAGCCCCTCCCTCCCCCTTTGATCGTTGTGTCTTGTGGTCAACAGGGTTCTTGGTACTCGTAGGATCCAAGCCTCGCATCGGTAACATCCTATCCTTTGGGGCTGCGACCTTTTTTCCACCTTTTTTCCTAACAATTCGCCCTAGATCTTGGCCCGGCGAATAGACCTTTTGACTGGAATAACGCTCGAGTGTTCGGAGTGTCCAGGACTTGTTCCCTTTCGGAGAAGTAAAGTAGACCTTTAGTTGTATCAAGGAAATCTGCACCCATGTGTAAGTGTCGCATTTTCGTCCCCCGTACGGTGTTTCGTTGCATTTAACAGCCTCCCTCTCCCATCCACACTCCGCCCTCCCCCCGCCACTAACCTATCGCTCACCTATAAGTTGATGGTTCCCTCTTGCATTCCCCCCCCCCAAAACCTTTGCCATATTTGGACCCACTACTCGATGATCCCACTTGCAGTTGTCGCGCCCATTTTTACTACTGTATCTTCAACCTTATTTCTTTGTTCTCGGATACCCGCACCCTTACTTTCCGAACAGCGAGCGTAAAAGATTCAAACTGAAGGATATTCGGCTAACAAAGACCGGCCTGGTGCCGTATCGGCGCCATCGCTGGAACCTTTGGACAGGGTTATTAAAAAGACGCTTCTCTTTAATTGCACGCGGTATTCGGGAGCGGATGCCTCCATTTGGAGATATTGAAGAAGGCCGTCCTTCTAGACAAAACTCAGAGCGAGGTCCTCTCCTAGATGGACCGAATGGAAATGGCTATGCCGCTGGCTATGGTGATGCAAATGGCCGTATAGCGCCACGGAGCCAGGGGCCTAGGAGGGGCGGGTTTGGTTCGCATGTATGCTCCAAAACGAAGGCCATTCTGCTCAGCAACTACGTGAACACCCTTCTCATCTTCGTGCCCCTCGGCATCGTGGCGGGCGCCATGAAATGGAACTCAACTGCGATTTTCGTCATGAACTTCTTGGCCATTATTCCTCTCGCGGCCTTGCTGAGCTTTGCTACTGAGGAGCTAGCCCTCATGGTGGGGGAAACTCTGGGCGGGCTGTTGAATGCGACATTTGGAAATGCGGTAGAATTGATTGTTAGTATTGTCGCACTTACAAAGGGGGAAATCAGAATTGTGCAGGCCAGCATGTTGGGTAGCATTTTATCCAATATCCTTTTGGTGGGTTTGCGTATCCCTTTTTTTGCTATTCGTTGGGTTCTGACTGCGCATATTTTTCATTTCGCTCAGGTCTTGGGAATGTGTTTCTTTTTCGGGGGTCTCAAGCACAAGGAACAGAATTTTAACACCACTGTTGCGTCCACCATGTCATCACTTATGGCGGTCGCATCATCGTCCTTGATCATTCCTGCAGCGCTCTATTCGACGCTCGCTGCGCCCAAGGAGGCATCATTTAAACTTATCCTTGACTTGTCCCGTGGCACCTCTGTGGTCCTGTTGATCCTCTACGTTCTTTACCTAGTTTTCCAACTCGACACTCACGCCTATCTCTTCGACGCTCAGCACGAATCCGGCGAGAGCGACGACGACGAGCCGCAGGGGCAGCAGACGGCGCTGCTATCGGGCGTTGAATCAGGAGTCGTTTTGGTGGTGGTGACTGTTATGGTAGCGGTTTGTGCGGAATACTTGGTTGGCTCTATAGACGAGATAGTTGCCAGCTCAGGCATCAGCAAGACTTTTATTGGGCTGATTCTCATTCCAATCGTGGGCAATGCTGCCGAGCACGTTACAGCAGTCGTGGTGGCTATGAAAAACAAGGTTTGTGCGACGTTTTCACTAATTACCCCATTTAAATGATAAAAATTTCCGCGTTTGCTCGTTTCTTCGCCCCATTTGTCACTTCCCCTTCCTGCCCTTACAGGGACCCTCTTATAATCTTTCCACACAATCATGCACCCCACACGCGCGCGCGCCCCACAATTTTTTCTACATTTCAGCCGCAGCGGGCTACTGCTGCCTACGGGTGATGCTATCTCGGTACCACGCGACGTCCCCCGCCTCTGTCGGGCGAAGCATGAGGAATATTGTCAGGACCTGATACGTTCTACTGGACAAGAGGGGGCACGGGCTAACTAGCGCTTGTTTGTGCACAGATGGATCTAGCCATTGGCGTTGCTATCGGCAGCAGCATGCAAATCGCCTTGCTGGTCACCCCGTTTTTAGTCATCCTTGGGTGGATTATCGGGCAGCCCATGAGCCTGTACTTCCAGACTTTTGAGACAGTAGTGTTCTTTGTGAGCGTGCTCATAACAAACTATCTCATCCAAGACGGTAAAAGCAATTACCTAGAGGGGGCTATGCTATTAGGGATGTGAGTAACGAATGCCTCTTTTGTCCCCTTTGTTGAGCTCGGGCTGATGAGTACTATAGATATACCATCATCGCCATCAGCTTCTTCGTATACCCGGATTCAGCCGGTTCACTGGGCGGCGTGCCCGGACAGTCATGATTTCGAGAGAGAGAAAAAACCCTGCGATACTCTTACTCCTACCTACTTGCAACAAATTTTTTTAAAAAAGGGCAGAAGGTCGTTATCCACCCCGCCCTGTCATGACGGCAAGGTCTGAAATAAAAGGAAAAAGAACACTGGAAACTTGACAAAAAAAAGTGAAAAAATAAAAGAAATACGACTTCATCCGCCTAACCAGCTGAAGAGGTGGAGCTTGCGAAAACAAGAAACAACAATATTATTATTCATTTCTTCCCCTTCCTCTAAAGTCGGTTGAATAATTGGAACACAAGCGGTCCGCCCATCCACTTGGCTCTGTCTGGCGGAAGATGTCCTTAAAGAGCAATTACTGTTTATACATACTATGCCTAGTCGTTTATTTATTCCCTTGCGTTCTTGCATATCTCCCCTGTCGCCCTCCCCTCAACTCCACATCAAATGTTTGAAAAAGCCCCTTTGTTCCTTTATTCACTTCTTGTAAACTGTATTAACAATTCTCTTTCTCTTTCCTTTCCTTTTTTTGGAATTTTTTTTTTTTGGAATTTTTTGTTTCCCTGGGATCGTTTGTGCGGAGTTGGTCAGTTTAGTTTTTATAATCTAGTCTGCGAGTAGTTGTTTAATATGATACGCATCATAACCCTCGTAAATGAGAAGAAAAACAGGTGACTTGCTATGCGGGCGGGAAAGGTGTGGGCGTGGCCACGGCGTGGCATCGGTATCCTGGTTTCCCATATCACGCTGTAGCCTTGGTCATACGATGCGGTGAAGGGTGTGCAGTTACTCGAGTATTGTCGGTAGGTGTGAGTGTGTTAGTGTGGGAAGTGTACTGTACTGTACTCGAGTATGATACAAGTACGAGTACAGTAGCTTTCGTCTTGGAGGCTCTGTTGACGCACGGTGATTGGGGTGGCCCGGTGTTAACTTATTTATGGGTTCTTGTGATTGATAAGGGACAAGGCGTGGATAGAGGTTGTGATACTCGTAGAAGCACAAGGTACGATGATATCACGATCTGCCTAGCCTTGTATCGCAGGTTATCATATTATCATACCTATGAGTACTTTGTAGTGTGGGTGATACCGGTAGTTCTCTTTTTAAAAGTGCGGAAGCGAGAAAATGAGGATGAGAGTACTGTAAATTATGTAGACTATGACCTAACCCAGGTGCACGGTGGTGCACCGGTATGATACAGGTGCCATATTGGTCCAGCCACCACATCCGCGATGCAATCACAACCACTGCGAGTGACCCGCAGCAGGACAAACTTCTCCCGATTTCAACAATAATCCCCGGTACAGCCTGCGGGACACAATGCCACCAAACATAATACTCCCCACCACCGCCGCCACCACCGCCCTACGAACCTTGCGCACGAGCACGAGCACACATATCCGCGCACTCTCCTCCCCCCACGAACAGAGGTCTAGCCTCGCAGCCCTCCTTGCAAAATACACTGAGCATCCAACGGGCTCCACCTACCGCTGGGAGACCCCGACACCAAGCAGCGCTCAACTCGGCACCGCAGTGAAATTCTTCACCCGCCGCCAGCCACGGCACATGTGGTCGGCCTCCAAGTTCAAGGAGATATGCTTCGGCACAGCGCCCGAAGTGGCCTTCCTGGGTCGCAGCAACGTGGGCAAGTCCTCGCTGCTGAATGCCCTCCTGGACAAGCCGCTAGCGCACACGTCCTCCAAGCCGGGCCGTACGAGGCTGCTAAACGCATACTCCATCGCCAACGGGCGCGGCGTGCTGCTGGACATGCCGGGCTACGGTCACAACTCTCGCGATGAGTGGGGCGTGCAGGTGATGAAGTACCTGCAGCGGCGGCGGGAACTTCGCAGGGCCTTCCTTCTCGTCGACGCGGAGCACGGCTTCAAGGGCTTCGATCGGCTGATGGTGCGGACGTTTGCGGAGCACGGTGTCGCCTTCCAGGTCGTGCTCTCCAAGGTCGATAGGCTGCGCCCGGAGGAATTGGTCGGGAGGTTGGTCCAGGCACGTGCAGTGCTGGAGGGGGATGATCGGGAGGGGGAGGACCGGCGCGCCGCGAAAGTGAGTTGTGGCCTTGGCGAGATTATCGGCACGGCCGCGAGTCCCGCTAAGAAGAGGAACAAACGCGTTGGGATCAATGAGCTCAGATGGAGCATCATGGTTGCTATGGGGCTGGACGACGATGCTGGCGTGGAATCGAGCTTCCGCGAACCCGTCATGGTTGCCGGGAGGGAGGAGACGGGATTGGATGATGTTGGGAAGATTTCCCATAGCGAATTGGATTTGGGGGATGATGGTGAGGATGGCGATGGCGGTGGTCCCGTTTATCAAAATTAGAAGACTAAACCCCCTTCCCCCCTCCCTTTCCCCCCAGACTGAAGAGCCAATATGGAATAGCCTTGTCTCATCACGATATCTCACTCGGTTCGCGGTGCCGGTCCTGGGACATGATTGATGTGATAGGCCGTAGATCGCACCAAAATTGAGGCTTTTGGAGTTGCTAATTCCACGCCATGCTTAAATCGAATGTAAAATAGAGGGTTTTCAGTGCTCGCCCGGAGAGAGCCCGATTAAAATTCACCCCGATGGTAATGATACGGCACTGTCCCGCAGGTAGAACCACGTGCGATACCGCAAACAACAATCCATATTACAATATGGACGTACAGTATCAGACCCCGTAACTTAAACCCCATGGCGGCAGCTATAGTACCGTACCCGCTGTAATAGGCTTACTGGTATGGAAGATGGTAGGATACATCTATCTTTACCAATTTTTCTTCTTTTTCCCTTTTGTGAATCCATTGTGATGGTGGCTTCTTGATTACGTGTTGTTGTTGCTGTGATGGGTTTTTGTTGCGGCATCGCTTCCTTCTCCACCACCACCTTGTCGGAAGACCGCGCAAATGGATGAGCATTGTATATATCATGGGTATTATTTTCCCTCCGCACGCGCTACTGCTGATAGAATATTATCGTACCGCCGTGACGTATCTAAGCTGGATAGTGTGGACAAGAAGGCAATATCTTAGCGCCCATGGGGGAAAAGGAGTTATTATAGCGAAGATAATAATGCTTCAAACTAACTAACTTACTCATCTGGTTTCTACGGATCTGGGGGGGGGGGGGGGGACGAAGTTGTAGAAGTATCTTACCGCGGTGTACTTTTCAACTATGATAATATTATCTAGGTTCTGGAAACAGGTTGGATGAAGTGTGCCTGCGAGTGATTATTCGTGAATCGCGGGTTGGATCTCACCTACCCAAGATGGCGGGGTACACACGTATCATGCTCGTTACCATATCGCACAGGGGGGGTGTTGTTGGTTGTGCTGTGGGGATATACATCTATAGTATTCTATGTTACTTTTGGAGTGTGTTTGGAGGGGGTGGGAGTGGGCGTTTCTGCGGAGAAAAAGAGATGGATAGAAATCACTACTCGGGTTGTGATATGACAACTGGTTTTTTATGAATAACGTTACTAGTGTCGTTGTGGTGTTTTTGGAAATGTTCGGGCTTTGTTTGGATATGTGGTATCAGGGTCATTTCAGGAATTCCTCCCTGAACTTGTATAGTTATAATACTTTACGGGAAGCTTTAGTGACAAGCCGACCATCATTTCGTCTACAGTACGCCACAGT